TGTGTGTGTGTGTGGGTGGGTGTGTGGTCAACTATAAGGTCAAATCCTTATAGTGTGTGTGCCGTGTCGGTCGTGACTTCGCTCCCGTTTACTCTTGTGTCGTGAATGCATGATGCGAACTCTACCTCAATCGTCCTGCAGAACCGCAGAGCCTGATGAGACTTCTAAATGCCTACAATACCAAGTAAGTTGGCACATATTCCACACTGAAATTCTGAAACCCCCAATTCAATATGTTGTAGATTTTTCTGTGGCAAAACTAATGCGAGTATACGGTACCTGCACCGTTGTCGAATGCGGCTGTACGCTGATTGTTGGCTTGGAGCGCAGCCTCGGCACTGTCCTTGGCCTTTTGGCGCTCTTCGTGATCGTCCTCTGCAAAGCATTTAAGGTCAGTATTTAGAGTATAGAAAATAGAATTCATACCCTCCTAGAAGGATGATTTGGGCTTGAGCTATGAACAACTACGTAGTATGTACGTGTATTTATCAACTTACAAAGAAAGAGAGTTTAGAGTATATAGAGTGAGAGTTTCAGATACTATCCTTTCGAATTGAGCATAAGCCGTAGATTGATGTATCGTAGTATGTGCACGCAATTATCAACATGCAGGCGAGCGAATTTTTAACCTAGCTGAAATATGCTGTGTTAGGACAAATCGTAATTCCAGTGCAGTGTCCGTCTGCGCGTGGCGTGACGTCCCAGCAATGCAGCTGAACATTGACCTACGAAATATATCATCACACCAAACGCAGCACATACAAGACACACACACATACACACCACGTGACAAACGTATATCATCAATCTAAACAGCCTTTATCGCCAAGCCCCCCCCTTAAAACATACCTCCATCTGCTTCGTCGCCCTTGATCTGGTTCAGAATGTCTGTTTCGGACTTATCCTCATTTTGACCGGTCTTTTTGCCGATGAAATGGGCAAACAATTCGGTTTGAGTAATTAAGAAATTCAGCTTGCGCGTCTGTCGTTTGGCCTCTCGAAGTTCTTCTTCGTGTTTGGCGCGTTCCAATTCTTCCTTTTCGGCTCTTTTGCGCATTTCTCGTTCCTCTTTCTCGTGCGCACGCCAGTAGGTCAGCACATTTCGCATCAGTCTGAGGAGATGAGAATGAAAAATATTTAGGACACGTTGTGTGTTCGGTTCGTGATTTGGGACCAAATTTAGTAATAAACTGAATGCACGAGTGTCGCAGTTAAACGAGTAGATTTTAAGTTCGCTTTAGGACAATACAAGACAAGTAAGAAGTTCAAAATTGGGATGGGATGGGAATGCCTGAAATCCTTAAGTAACTAGAACTAGATCTCGGGCCATATCATCGTTGTTAAGATCCACACTGGGAACAATGCAAGCAAAATTGCATCGGAATAGAAAGGCATGCCTAAATCAAGTGCAAAGAATAGGTACAAGACTGAATAGAACCAATATTTTTGACCAGACTTATACAGACAACATTCCAGAATACCAAAGAAAAACACCTACAGGCTGCATTACACATCTGCAAAGCAACAATTTGTTCGGCCATATGCTCTCAGATAATGTGCGCAAATATACACCACACACTTCAAAAACACGCATTCTCACACATGCCACTCACTGCGACTCGCACGTGAATACACACAAATCCACATACAACCATACAATGACGCACACATTTATACCACCACATAAATCCCCATACAACCACACAAATCCCCATACAGACCCATACAACCATACAAACACACATACAGCCATACAAACACACATACAAGCACACAAGCACACAACCCCCCATACAAACACATATATCCCAAACAAACACACAGACACAAACACTCTTAAAAACACATATACAGCTACACAAACACACATACAACCATACAAACACATATACAACAATACAAACACTCACACAACCACACATATCCCCATACACACACATATATATATACAAACACATACACCTATACAAACACAAATACAACCATCCAAACATTAATACATTCATACAACCAACAATACAAACACACACAACAATACAAACTGTCACACTACCACACACACACACACATACCCATACCAACATGCACATGCATATAATCACCCACACCCATACCTCCTGGACCGCTGTACCGTATCCCTGGTTGAGCGCATGGCCTTCTGCCCTGGCTTGCGCACATCCTGCTTGGCCAGCACCTCCTTCTGGCACGTCTGTACTACACGCCGCAAGTGCGCCATATTCGCGTTGTGTGACTGCACACGGCTGCGATACGCTCTGGGGATATCGCGCGCGCACATGAGCTTCCATTCCTTGTCACGCTTCTCCTCTTCGCTCACCACCACGGGTGCTACAGGCACAGGGGCGGGTGCAACTATGGGCTGTGTGATGGGCGTGGGGGCGACTGCGGGTCCTGGGTGGGTGATGGTGGGTGTGGAGCTGGTGGTGGTGGTCATTCGCGCGCTGAAGGCGGCCAGACTCTCGTTCTCGTCGTCGTCTGTAGAGAAGGAACATGTATTTATACGCACGAAACCGAGTTGAAGGGAAGTGTATGGTTGTAGTTGTTTTGTAGGTAGTGCCAGTACTTGGTACATGCCGAGGTCGTTGCATACGGCCTATGATTCGATGGGTATGGTGATTTATATTCCACGTTCGTCATGGTAAAAATATCTATCAGATGTATAGCCTTCGATGTCGGTGGGTGTGGTGAAATATGTATGGATAGTTGCGTATGTTTTTATATGAAGATGTATCAATAGCAAAAACATAAATATATTTGCGATGCGCACGCATTCTCGTTTAAGAAGCTGTCATCAATCACACTACTCAAACAGTACAAGCAAGAACCATTGATGTCATGTATACGGCCCATATTTAGTTTTCCCTGTTTATACATACGTACATCTTGATACATTGTAGACTTCGAGCCCACCGAATATACATAGTGTTTAGGTAATTTCAAAGACATACACTATACATAAGCAGACAAATTCCTGTATTCATAAACGTGCAATATATAAGTATAATAATACTCTCAATCCACTTATGTGTACACACAGTAAAGTACAAAGTCTCACACTAGTGAGGGTAGGTTTAATTGTGTACCCACATACCGTAATCATCTTCCCGTTTAACGCGTTTCTTTGCCACGTGCCCATGTTTCCTGCCATAGCTCTTCAGCTCAGCCTCCAGATCAACGCTGTTGTCACTGTCGCCATCGTACATATGTGGCTGCAGAAGACGCTTTAGTCCATACCTGAATCGGGATTAGTACGAAAGGAACTCAGCATTAGGACAAGTGAAGAATGTAATACATATAAGACATCTAGAACATAGGTTTAACTGCATTAGTCCAGAAATGACGCTCACGCACGCTTGAGAGCCGGGTATTAGGAGGGAGTGACGAAAGTGTGCTTTGAAGTTGATAGCCGAGAATATACGGATTAAAATTTACAGATACAATTCATCGCTTGAAAGCATCGTGCACACATTCGGCGTTAGGATTACAATTGTACGAACGGGCGACATAGTGACAAGCTGGCTGGCTATGCCAGTGGTCATTCCATGGTTCGTAGGACAGAAGCAAGAAAGGAAAAGTGTGCGCTCACGCTTCATTTTCATAATCAAATACGCACACACAACGTCGTCGTACAACCCGCCATGCACTTATCTTCACTCGCCCATGCTAACATAGTACAACCCAGTGCAGCATAGTACTGCCCGGTGCAGCATAGTACAACCCAGTGCAGCATAGTGCAACCCAGTGCTGCATAGTACAACCCAGTGCAGCATAGTACAATCCAGTGCAGCATAGTACAACCCAGTGCAGCCATCACACATACATACAAATTTCATTTACAAGACGCAACACATAACGCGTACTCACTCCATCTGCAATACAACACGGTACTAAAGTACCGTCCTCACTGCATCTGAAATCCGACCCAACACACTATCCGCGTACATACTTCATCTGGATAAATGGGTCGCACTCCGAGAGGATGGCGGTGCTGTAGTGCCCATACTTCTCGGGATTGAGAGTGTTCTGCTCGTACTTCTTGTGTGCGTGCTGGGCCATTCGATGCAAGTCCATACACACCGTGTATGCGTCGCTGCGGATGGCGCGGCTGTTGTTGATGATGGGCGAGAACATCTGCGCGTCCTCGGGGTGTCCCTGCTGGCCCTGTTAAAGTGAGTGTGCAATGAAACATGTCAGTACAAATACACTAGTGCGTGTGTATACACATCAGTGTGCGTATATATATATATATATACTGGCGTGCGTACGTGTGTACGTCAGGGTGTGTGAGAAAGAGTGTATGTGTCAGTGTGTTAGTGTGTATGCTCCTGCTGTTGTAACTGATGGGCGAAAATAACTGCGCGTCCTTTGAGTTACCCTGCTGGCCTTGTTCGGGTGAGTGTATTTGAAAATACGTTGGTGTGCGTGTATATACACTAATGTGTTTGCGCGTGGAGAATGTGTGTATATACATCAATATTTGATAGTACACGCATGTTACGAGTCTGTAAACCTTCATATAGGTCACAACATATTTGCGTATATGCACGTCGTCCACGTGAAATAGACACTCGCACATCCGCGTAGATATACAAATATCTAATAAATGTGTTTAGCGATGTACCGGTATATACGAGAATACATGCATGATGCGGAGATATAGATTGATTTATACGCATAATTGTTCATGAGCCGGGATGTCACATACTCTGAATTACAAAGCACGACAAAATTCTTGCATAAACGTGAATAATGCTTCTACATATACACACAGCTAAGAATCCCACATTTGTTAATAAACGATACTCACCCTCCGTCGTGTGGCGCCTGCGTACTGATTAGTATCGACTCCCAATGTAAAGTTTGTTACGACACCATACTCCTCATCACTCCAGTCATCGTCAGATAGCAACGCTGTGGGTGTATCGAGAATATGGTTTACTGCGTGCCTAGTGCCTATGTACGACTATTGTGTGTACAGCTTTACGTTCCAAAGAAATCATACATGTAAGTACAAATTAGATAATAAGTATTCACAAATATACCATTATTTATATATATATATATATTTGTGCCTAAAAAAAACATAACTTTGTGTATGATATACGTGAGCACATATTCACTAGCATAGTTGCAAAATATAGACATGCATGTCCATATACGATTTCAGATATATCTTACATAGTTCCGAGACGGCTATACACACTAATGAGATCATATACACGATGACAACACACACACACACACACACATATATATATATATATATATGTGTGTGTGTGTGTGTGTGTGTGTGTATGTATGTAAGTATGTATAGAGGTATGTACGTATGTATGTATACATATATATATATATNTAT